TCTGTACTTTAACAGACTAACCAGCGATAATTAGGTTTCGCGGGCTAAAGTCTGTATTTTCCTTCGTTTTTTTTGCTATTACTTTCTGTTTACGCACATACCTTTTTTTTTTTTTTTTGGGTTTTTTTTTTTTTTTGCTATTTTTGTTCTCGTTGTTTCAACGCGAAATTTCCGAAGCTGCGCTTTCATTTGGTTTCCAAGGCGGGTATATTCATATATTCGAGGGTATTCATTTTTTCCTCACCGTCCGGTATTCTTCTTGTTTCAGCGTCAATACGTATGGTCATTTTCTTTGCTAACCTTTATCCTCACCTTTTCTTACTTTTTGCATTCTACTCTTTAAAATTGGCTTCTTGATCTCGTCCTTCTTCCGTTGAATTGTCTTACCTCCTCTTCTTTCGTCCGCGGCCAGTTGCCTTCTTTCGTTAGTTTTTCTTTTTTTATTTTGTACCACTAGGTTATTCTCCGTGTGTTTCTTCATCAGAAATATATAAGTTGGCTCCTAACTCTACCTTTGCTAACGCGTGGTTCAAATTAGGTTTTTTTCCGATTTTTTTTTTTTTTTTTTTTGTGCGGGCCGGACCCCCCATTCCCGGATGCGCCTTCATTTGGTCCAAGCTTATATTTTCGAATACTAATAGTCAGATTGACTGTTTTTCCACCAATGAGTCTCTCGTTGCGCGAGTTGTACTTACATACGTGTTTTCATAAAAATCTCGAACATTAACGTTTTTTTCCATTTTTTTGCCCCAATTTCCCGGTTGCGCTCTTCTATTTGGTCCAAGCTGTAATTTTCGAAACTAATACGTCCGAGTATTACTCTTCTTTGCCACAAATGGTCTCTTCGTCGCGAGTTTGTACTTACATACGTGTTGTTCATAAAAATACTTACGAAATTAGGTTTTTTTCCATTTTTTTTGCCCCAATTTCCCGGTATGCGTCCCTTCATTTGGTCTCCAAGCTATATTTTGAAACTAATAGTCCAGATTGACCGTCTTCTTTTGCCCACAGCAATGAGTTTCTGCTCCGTAGTTGTACTATAATACGTGTTTTCATAAAAAATATCTACCGAAATTAGGTTTCTTTTCCATTTTTTGGGCGCCCAATTTTTTCCGGTTGCGCCTGCAATTTGCGTTCCAAGCGTATATTTTCGAAACCTATAGTCATGAATTGACGTCTTCTTATGCACCAGTGAGTTTCTCGTCACGAGTTGTACTTACATACGTGTTTTCATAAAAATACTACGAAATTAGGTTTTTTTCCATTTTTTTGCCCAGAGGGCTTTCGCGTCTCGCCTTCATTTGGTTCAAGTGTATATTTTCGAAACTAATAGTCAGATTGACGTACTTCTTGCACCAGTAGTTTCTCGTCGGAGAGTTGTACTTGCATACCGTGTTTTTCATAAAAATACTACGAAATTAGGTTTTTTTCCATTTTCTTTTGCCCCAATTCCGGTCTGCTGCCTTCATTTGGTTCAAGCTGTCTATTTTTCGAAACTAATAGTCAGATTGACGTCTTCTTTTGCACCAATGAGTCGTTTCTCGTCGCGAGTTGTACTTATTTCATACGTGTTTTCATAAAAATTCTACGAAATTAGGTTTTTTCCATTTTTTTTTGCCCCCAATTTCCGGGTCGTGGCGCCTTCATTTGGTCCCAAGCTTTATTTTTCGGAAACTAATAGTCAGCATTGACGTCTTCTTTGCACCAAATGAGTCTCTCGTCGCGAGTTTGTACTTACATACGTGTTTCATAAAAATACTCACGAAATTAGGTTTTTTTCCATTTTTTTGCCCCAATTCCGGTCTGCGCCTTCATTTGGTTCAAGCTGTATATTTTCGAAACTAATAGTCAGATTGACGCGTCTTCTTTGCACAATGAGTTCTTTCGTCCGCGAGTTGTACTTACATACGTGTTTTCATAAAAATACTACGAAATTAGGTTTTTTTCCATTTTTGCCCCAATTTCCGGTCTGCGCCTTCATTGGTTCCAGAGGTATATTTTCGAAACTAATAAGTCAGTGATTGACGTCTTCTTTGCACCTAATGAGTTTCGTCCGCGAGTTGTTATTACATACGTGTTTCATAAAAATCTACGAAATTAGGTTTTTTCCATTTTTTTGCCCCCAATTTCCGCCGGCCATGCGCGTTCATATTTGGTCGCCTAAGTCTTATAATGCTTGCGAAACTAATAGTCAGAATTGACGTCTTCTTCGCACCAATGAGTCTCTCGTCGCGAGTTGTACTTACATACGTGTTTTCATAAAATCCTACGAAATTAGGTTTTTTCCATTTTTTTGCCCAATTCCCGGATTTTCTCCTTCATTATGGTTCCTTAAGCGTATATATTTTCGAAACTAATAGTCGGATTACGTCTTTCTTTGCACCAATGAGTTTTCTCGTCGCGAGTTTGTACTTACATAGTGTGATTTCATAAAATACTACGCAAATTAGTGTTGGCTTTCCTTATGTTTGCCCATATGTCCCGGATTCTTACTCTATCTATCGGTTCCAAGCGTATATCTTGTCGAAGACTAATAGGTCGGATTTACTGTCTTGGCTTTGCACCGATATGTAATTCTCGTCGCTGAGTTGAGCTTACATACGTCGATTTATAAAAATAACTACGGAAATTAGGTTTTTCCCATTTTTTTGCCCCAATTTCCGGATTTCGCCTTCATTTGGTTCCAAGCGTATATTTTCGAAACTAATAGACGGATTTACGTCTTCTTTGCACCGATGAGTTTCTCGTCGCGAGTTGTACTTACATAGGTGATTTCATAAAAATACTACGAAATTAGGTTTTTTCCATTTTTTTGCCCTAATATCCGGATTTCGCCTTCTTTTGGTTCCAAGCGTATATTTTCGAAACTAATAGTCGGATTTACGTGTTCTTTGCACCGATGAGTTTTTCGTCGCGAGTTCTACTTACATACGTGATTTCATAAAAATACTACGAAATTAGGTTTTTTTAATATTTAGCCTTAATCTGGAATTTTGGGCTTCGGATGAAATTTGTATTTTTTCTAATTTTTACCGAAATTGTAATATTTAGACTGAATTTTGTTTAACGCATATTTCCCAAACTAATAGTCAGATTGATGTCTTGTTTGCACTAGTGGCTTTCTTGTCAAGTGTTGTACTCATTTACGTGTTTTAAGAAGGAAACGATGAAATTAATATTCTTTCCAATTTTAACCAAAATTGTAATGTTTGGGCTAAATTTTGTAAACGCTTACTTGCAAAACTAATAGTGAGAATGAAGTCTTTTGTTGCACCACTCGATTTGTCGTCGAGAGTTGTTTTCACGTATGTGTTTTGAGAAGGAAACGATGAAATTTCTTATTTTTCTCAATTTTTTTTACAAAAATTGTATTATTAGACTGAATTTTTTTCATGCTTATTTCCTAAACTAATAGTAAGATTGAAGGTTGGTTTGCATTATTGGATTTCTCGTCGAGAGTGAAGTCACGTACGTGATTTTAGAACGAAGCGATGAATATAATTTTTTTTTTTTTAATTTTGCACCAAATTTGCAATGTTTGGGCTCAATTTTTTTTCACTTTTATTTCTAAAACTAATAGTCGGATTGAAGTCTTGTTTGCATTATTGGATTTCTCGTTGAGGGTTGTACTCACGTACGTCATTTCAGAAAAAAGCGATGAATTTTTTTTTTCGAAGTTTTCACCAAAATTTCTGAAATTGGTCAAAAAATTTTTACGCGTATTTCCGAAACTAAAAGTCGTTATAATATAATATATATTATATAGATAATTAATATTTGTTTCCCTCGCGCTACTTTACGATCCTGTAAGGTAAAAACTAGGAATTTGGATCGTGTTTAGATCGTTAATATACAACAAATGTTTTGCAAAGCAAGAAAAATCTATTTGACCTAGATCACACTGTATTGCTGCTTCGATAAATTCCATTTTATTTGAAAGAGATTGCTCATCATGATGCATTTTTGCATGTTCCTACACGGATGTTTCCCTGCTTAATTTGACTGTAGTTGCTAATTATCTGTCTCATTTTTACCTTAGTGCACGGTCTAGGGAAGTATCGGGCCCCAGCAGTGGCAAGCGGTGCGGAAGGAGGGGAACAAATGTAGACAAATGCATAATGGGAGAGGTAGTACAAGGATTAGGTTCAAGGGATAAGGTAATTGGTCCCAGATGTCCGAGAGGATGGAAAAGAACTGGGAGATGTGGGCGGGGAAGGATGTTGGGCAGGATACTGCCGAGGTTGTGAAAGGATGTGTTTTGCAAGCTCACCACCGAATGCATGTTTTCCGACAATGTTCAGGGGAACATCATACCGGGTGAATTGTTTTTCTGAGAGAAAGTTTAGCTCAAATAATTTAACAATGTGTGTCTCTGATGCAGTTTCAGTTGGTTGTTTGCGTAATTAATTTCTTTGCATAGTGTAGGTTTGTTGTACCAGAAGGGCTGAGTCGAGACTATAATGTTCGTGTTTTGGGCGGCACGATGCAGTTTGTCAACATGTTGTTCAGGTGTAAAGTGACCACCCAAATTGATGTTATTCTGCCCTCCTATGTTGGTGAGAGTTTTTGTGTCCCACTCTCTGGTCATGTTGGCAAGTGTCCCGTTAGGTTTAAACACGCCCGTGACAGAGAAATTGGATAGGAGTTTCCCACTGAGCAGGTAGGAGATTTGTACCTCTTTGCTGGGCTCAGCGGGAATGTGCTTGGTTACTTGTGGGCCAGGGTGCGCCACTGCGTGTCTAATTTCTGTGCGCTTGCTAGCCTGTTTGCGTTGGTTTGTGGGTGGACGTGTTGATGACGGAAGGGGTTAGTGACGGTTTGAAGTTTAGTGAATAATATTGCAAGTAATTTCTAGAAACTGAAGAAAAAGAAGGGGAGTTTGTATTAGAATTAAATTGTTGTGTGTGCTAATTGCCTTGAATTAATTTAAAAGAAATGTGTTATTATTTACATGCGTTAAATATAATCCACGTTTGCTCCCCCCCAGAGTGGCCCCCTCCCTGCACTAGTCTCTGCGTCAGCTGACATGCAAAGTTCATCCAGATGGCCATCGGCGGAGATCGGCCTCCAATCGCGAGGAAAGTACAAGATCCAGGTGAGAATCTGGTCGCCCGGCAGCGGTATGGCCCGGAATGATCACCCGAGCTTTGTTTAACGCTCGTAATTCGTCTTTGGTCGTAATGCATAATTCAATATCGTGATTGCTGAACGTTGTCTCTTACGTCTTTATTACGCCGTAGTCACGTGATCAATACGGTTTAACAATGTTCCGTTATGACTGGTGCTAAAAATCCCTGGTAACATTATATAATTACACTACATGACTTGCATAATGGGTGCAATAAAATCCTCCTCGCCTGTCAGGTGCCATTGCCGTGTCTGTCTAACGCCTTCAAAGCCCTGTGTTTCCGTTATTACTCGATCACATTCACAGAATAAACTTCCATGTTACCGAGTGCGCCACTGTCGACAGGACGAGCGCCATTTCTTGTGTCAGCAATTCTTCTCAAGATTACGTTTATTGTCAACCCTTAAACGGGAATTTAAAATTAAACTATTTTTAGAACTTCCTATAAAATACATTGGCAATCTTCTACTTCACATATTAAAGCGTAAGAAATTGCATGTATTCTCTACTTTGACTCTACTCCTCTCTTGAGTAGTCACTTAATACCTTATTAGAACTTCAAAAAACAATTTAAGATATTGCATTTATAGAAGGTTATATCCAGGTGTTTCATATAATAAATTACAAGAGCAATAAATATGAAATAATTAATTAATAAGGGATAATTATTATAAACAATAATTGGTAGGAAAAGACGTTTAATTAACATCTAAAAACAAAAAAAAAGTATTGAAAAACTATAAATAGGTTACAATCATCGAAGAAACAAACTAATAAAATACAATATGTAGCTAAACGGTGTTTTTTAAGTACAGAAATAACTTTCCATATTCTACTGAAAAGCCTACGCTAGTGAATATATTAATATTACCTAATTATATATTTGTAATCCACACAGACACAAAAACTGTAATAGAAAGTTTGAGACCTACCAGTAAACAACTGATAATCGAAGAGATAGTAAATGTCCTCTACAATATAGTATGAAGGTAGAAATCAGTACCTAAAAATCGATTGCATTCCATCTCGTACAGGCACTAGAAGAAATCTGTTGGCAATGCTGCTAGAGAAGCCATTACCCTATCTTTTCTCAAACACGAAAAATGAGCTTCATGAAAGAAATAAAGAAAATGAAATTCCGAATAGTTAAGATCACTTCCTTAATAGCTGTTACAGATTAGAAATACAGTTCTTGTCATCCATCTTTTCTTCGAAATAAGAAATGTAATAGTCACCTAATAACTGGCAATACAGAATTATCTCAGCAACATTTACTAACAAAGGAAGATCCAAAATTATGTCCTTTTTTCAATATATCGGTACATCACATTCTAACGCAGTTTCTAACAATATGTTGAGAGGCAAATACGTACTGTCAAATCACCTTACAGTTCAATCACCAGGTCCGAGTCGGTCAAAGAAAAAATCCGGAACTTTTTTCAACATCATTATATTATCAACTGTTACTATTTCGTTTTTCAACGATAGAGATTAATCATTGTTTTCTTCATGATTACTTATGTCACTAGTAGCCAATCGCTGACGTGAACGAAAGATACATGTACCAAAATACAGACAAATCTCACATTCAAATTCAAAATCCCAAGAAACTGATAGAACTGGTGATAAAAACTTTGTGATTTTTTCCCGAATCGGGCTTTTTTTAACACTTTTAAAACAACTGAGTGACAATGCTTAATAATTGTGCAGTACGTACATAAATTTGAGAGAAAATAAATACCTACTCGTAAATTCAAATTTATGCAAACCAACCTTGTATATTACATACCTTGTGAAGAGTAATACAATACAAGGTAAAGTCATTAAAATAGTACATTAATAATACACTGTATTGTATAACATGTAATTATATTACTGTAATAATTAATGTATTTTTATATGTAGTCGGAAATGATCCGTTGTTTGTCCGATATTTATAAATAAGGCACATAAAGTCATGATTGTAATCGTTCCATATTACCCTTGAGAGTGAATGTCTTTGTGACTTTTTTGCTCATGATCCACGTCCCACAAAACTTAATATATCGAATTTCAACAATACGTTAATTCATTTTTATATCGATCACTCAAAAAGTGCCATATGATAGTAGCAAATACAAGTTAACCCATATTTAGGAATGTTTTTGCCGAAGTGTTCGAGACAAACATTTAGTTTCATCCATTAAAGGATTTGTAATGTATTACCAAAGTGAAAACAATTTTTTTTAAATCAAACCACTCACTAAGCACAGATTTACTCATACCACAAATATCTGTTTATTTAGCAGAAGGGTCTCTTCGAAACGTATTTGCAATATTCTGTACATTTGTGATTTTCATATTTTTTCTCACTGCATTCACTAATGATAAAGTGATAGCAATTCCAAAGTGTGTAAGATAATTGTCAAGCCTTCTTCCTTTCGTTCAATTATACATTTTAGAAAAGTTTTTTTTCTCCGCAAATGACAAATTTTCAATTTAATGAAATCTGTTATTTCTCTCTTTTTGCTATTTGTATTGTAAATGAAACACATCTTCATAACCCTTCTGCAATAGAAATAAAATGAACTGTCGATAGCATTGTAGACACTACCCGCGATTTTGTTTTTAAGTACTTTACATCAGTGCAAGTTCCATCCCGTACAACCATGCAAAATGCATACGAACGTGAGATGTGCTTACAATATAGAGTTGGCCGATGAATCTACGCACGCGACTACGTCCCGGAGAAGTTCCATTGTAAGAACTCTTGTTAACCCTAAGTGCTCGTCACTCTCTTTGGTCATTCGCTCCGTGAGCGCGGTGAATGTTTAACCACAAGAGATGGCCGAGTTTTTCCCTCGGAGAAGGAGCACATCTCGTGCCAAAACACACGTTGGCCGTCCCCATATCGCCCCGGGTGAGACAAGCTCTAAGCATCTGATTCCAACAGAGATTGCACTAGGTGACATGCTCTAAATCCCCGACTGGTCTCGCGAGATACGTCCGAGCGGAGTGCATGTGAGAGATTGTGTAAGTGGAGTAGGAGGGAAGATATGCGTGGTTCATTTGTTTAGATAAGGTTTCGGGCATTCATTTGGTAATGATCACAGACATCAAGAAAAAGTGCCGGTCAGAAAAGCTAGTCAAAATAACTCTCCTCTACACAGCAACTGAAATCGATTTGTTAGTGAAGCTACGAACGAAACATTGTCACCGTCGAGACACAAACACTAGTACCAACTCGACACAGTAGATGAGTCGCCTATGCCATTTTGGCTCAAAGAAAACTCAGCCGGATAAATCAAATTAAAAAGAATTGAATCAAATTTAAAATCACGCCTCTTGCTGATTCAGTTGCCTGGCACAGCTGCACTGATAACTGTGATTGATAACGGTGATTTGGCTCGGTGGTAACTAAGGAGGTTAAGTCAATCACGGGGAATGAAAGGAAGCTGTGCCATGCAGCGGCAGCACAGCCGACGCGCTCCCGACGCGAAGCACCCGCTGGCGCGCATGCGCCGCACCGCCTCCCCAGCCAGGCGGCGGCGGCGAGAGCGCGCGCGCAGCGCCATCTCCCCGAGGAAGGCCACGGCCGCCGCCAGCGCCCCCACGCCCAGCACGACGCCGGGCTCCACCAGCGCCGAGAGGCCCAGGGCGCGCGGGGCGGAAGTTCGGGCGGGGGGCAGAACGGCATATGGCGGAGACAGAGCGGGTGCCGGTTGAAATATCTCCCAACTTCTCACTGTCAGCCAAACATTGCTGCAAAAGAAATCGAAAACTACGGTTCCCTCCAATGACATGTGACCGTGGAGAACAAACGAAATTAACAGTAAAAAGGGTCACATCATTTACATATGATAAAAAAAAGTCAGGGTGATTCATTACTATCCAGCAATGGATAAGGTAAATAAGGGATATGGAGCAGTTGAGAGTTCAGATGGTGCGTCTATTTACCTGCAAGTGAAAAGGTACAAAATATAGGATTCATTAATACATGGCCTACATACATGGATGTGGGGAGGGAAAGATACAAGTCAGTAGTAAGACCCATCAAAATGTCTTACAATAATGGCAAATGAAGCGGTTGAAAAGACTACATGCCTATCATATGTGGATGTGGATGTAAATGAACTCATTAAAACACTGTTCCCTCAGCATATAAATTGGGGAAAGGAAATGAATAAATACATAATTAAATAAATAATTAAATAAATAAAAGGTAACGAGTGGTTTTGCAGAATGACACAGACTTTCCCGTATTAGTTTTCTATTTCCTTTGGTCTCGGTTATCTATTTGAACTTGCCACATATTATTGATTGCTTCGTCTATCGCCGCCCAAATTTCATTTTTTTTGTCATTTCTTAAATTTTTCAGTATCCTAATCGTAGAGCGGAAATATAATTTAAGATTATTAAAGAAACATAAAACGTCGTCATACTTGACAATTTTGTTTAAAAAATTTGGAGCCTTTTTTTAAAAAACTGGCGTTTAAGCGCTAGGATTACCTTTCGACATTGGTGCAAATGCATCTCACTAAATGACCTCGAGGAGCGCCACATGTTAATGAATTAGCCCTGTAGGAAGGAAATTTAGAAACCGTGGCAGTCGCTATAATTTGTCCTGCAGGATTCCTGTCAATGTTGACGCAGATGGCTACTTGCGCAATTGCCCGGAGGAGCGCCTCCGAAAGGTATTGGACATGATACTTTGGAAAGAAACTGTGAACGCGTAGCAGGTGTTATCGACGAGTACCTTGCGACCTTGGCGTAGATGCCTGCTTCCACAATGGCCTGCAGGATTCCGTTTAAACGACGTTTGGTTCTGTCGCTTAAATGCACCTTGAAAAACTCGTAGTTTGGCGTGAAGACGTATTCCGGCACTTTATGTACATAGTAGGTGTCTGGTGAGTCCGAAATCCTCTTAACATTCAGGAAAATTCCCACCTGTATTTCATTTAAGATGGTGGCTGGTCCGGGTTCCTGCGGTAGGTTTTGATATCCTCTTAACATGTAGAACGTCTCCTCTGGACATTCACTGAAGCTGCACATGGAGACATTTATGTGTCAAGTGAATCTTATATACAGTTGGGTACAATAGGTAATTCTGTATAATTTAGTTGTATTGCCTTCGAACTCTTGACCTGGAGTGAGTAAAAAAGTAATGAGCACTAATGACTGTTACGCCTTCCGAAGTCACCTACAGAAATCGCCATCCGAAAACTGCTTTCGAAGTTGCCTTCCGAAGTCATCTCCCAAAGTCACATTTAAGGTTTATTCAGTCAAAAATATTAAAAATTGTACGTGACGTACGGGGGAGAAGATGATTTGCGCACGTTTTCTTGAGTCCCGGAATCCCTTCCCGTCATTAAATCTATAAATAGTTGAATCATGAGTAAAAATTTAACTTAATAAATAAAAATTAATTTTAAAAATCGCAAGATTAACAATATTTGAAAAACAGGCATTTTTGTTTCCGAGTTATAGAAAACGTATTTGCAACGGTATAGCAATAACAACAAAATAGTAACTCGCCCTAACTGTTACCATTACAAGCAAAAGGAGAGTTCAAAAAAACGTGCGCTACATGTGTGAAGTGAAGCTACATTTACGTCCAGAAGCAAAATAAGGGGCCATCTCAGCTTTTGCTCAAAGGATCAGGGAAATTGGACAAAAACCTGATCGAGATGGCGACATTGTGCTGGAAGCTGAAGTATATTATTTGTTACAAACTTATTAAGTCTTTTAATAAAATTAGACAAGAGAAATGTAAACTAATTCATTATATATTACTGTTTTTAAAGAAAATATTATTTTTCTTTTTGATAATCAGTATAGTCTCTAATTGTAAAGAAACAGTTACGCAGCACAAAATAATTTACTTGTAGCTTAAATTTGTGAACCGACTTCAATTGTTTAATGTCATTTCGCAGTGCGTTGTAAAGTAACATTGAATTCGCCTTCCAAAGCAGTCTTCGGAAGTCGCCATCCGAAAACGTTTTTCGATGTTGCCTTCAGAAATGGCCTTCCGAAGTCGTCTTTCGAAGTCGCCCTTCGAAGACGCTTTCCGGAGACGTTTCCGAAGACATTTTTTTAAACCGTTTCCTGAAAACGTTTTCTGGACAGTACTTAAGCAGTAGTTTTCAAATACACTACGCCTATGAACAATTTTAATACGCATCTTCCCTTTAGAGCAGATATAACTTGTGCAAACATTACATGCGATAATTAACAAAACATAATTACTTTTGATATATTTTCCACAACACATCGTTTTTGTCCTCGATTGTGTAGGGTGCCGTCTTTGGATCACCGCATATGTATGGGACTTCGTTTAGAGCTTCCTGCAGCGTCTGAATCTGCCGGGGTTCCCCAAAGACGGCTAGAAAGCCCATGAAGGTCCCCGTAAAGGCACTCACAATCACCATCCCGTATGCGCTCAGCAGCAGCGTTAGAAAGTTGCCTCGGTGGTCGCCCTCGCGAGTCACAAAGGCACCGTGGATGAAGCTGCCCAAGACCTCGAGCATCACGTTCCTGAAGAAAGATAAATAAAATATCATCGACAATCGCTATAGTCACCAAGCCCCACTGACTAAAGCGTGTAAGACATCGAGCATTACGTTCCTGAAGAGAACAAACAGGAAGTTTAATCGACAATCGCTCGAAGGAACCTCCGATGACGTAGCCGTCTAAAATCTAGATCATCACGGTTCTGAAGAATAACGTTTTATATTTGTAGAATGTGGAAATATTTATGAAAGATTTTGGAAGTGATTGGAGGGAAGCATCAAACTGCTTATGATGCAAAGGGCGATTGCTGAGGTGAAGACACTGGTAACAGTAGGTATTCAAGGTTTTTATATTGGTGCAGAGAGAATGTATGACAGTTGTTGTGAATAGAATTGGCGAGAGTGAGACTACCTGCAGCCGAATGATGTGAAAAGTGCAGGTGATGGTTTTATGGCTGCTATCTGTGGCTGTTTAGATTCTTTAATGTTGTAGTAGAGAGAATGGCGTGACCGTCTTGAATTGAGTAGACTTATAGGTACAACTTGCTTAGACAGTTATAGTGAACTTCTGGGAACTAATATTTTTTATTCACTATATCAGAGGATGTCAAAATTAAATAGAATTTCTCCACATTGATTTCATTAATATATGTAGAAATATAGAAAATACACTAACAAAACGAACTGAGATTTTCAATATCTTTATTTGTCTTTTAAAAATCAATAATTTTCAATAATTTGCTTCGTACATTTTTTGTTACGAATTGATCTAGTTCCTTCTCCCGAGTTCGACATTCTTGACTCTGCATCGTCATCCGTGTCTAAAAATCGCAATGCAGTCTTACCACCCTTCAATGCCTCGTCCACTGTGGGAAGCCCCAGACTTCGAAGGCCCTTTTACTCGCCCAATAGCATACGAGATCCTTTCTGTTGCGGAATGGCGTAAGCGGCTACTGATGCAGATCGCGTTTCCGCGCGGCGCCGCAGGTGGCTCTGGGACTGTGGCAGTCGCCTACGTAGAATACAACGCGCTTTGACCCGTAACATGAAGCTTCAAATTAAGTGGCATGACGTCAACACTAAGATCCGCTTTCCGGGGCCGCTTCGTTCACCTCAGCGAAGACTTCTTCGATTATGACTTTTGGCCGATATTTTCCCGTAGTGCTGGAATTTGTGGTACTAAGGCGATGCACGCTTTTCCGGGAGGGAATTAATTTCTATGTCGTTGTATTTCCTTTAACGATGTTTTCTATAACCGTGGTTCAGATTCACTAGAACCGAATCTTCGTATGTTTATTTGTAATGTAAGTGAAACGGGACCAGTGACTTAAGTTCACTATAACCGACGGTTACCTGTATCCGAGTTCACTACAACCGGAGTCTAGTGTATGTTGTAGTTCGGTGGGACGGGAATTGGTGACGCTGATCTTACCTGCGCCTGACTAGGCGAAGAGCCCCAGCGAAGCTGACGAGGCTGACGGCTATGGCCGCCCATGTCCAACTGGTGAAAGACAGCAAGATTGTCTGTTGCACAGGTTGGCGCCGTTTCACCAGCATGCACATATTGTTGCGTGCGTGCGGGTAGAGCGAGTTCGTGTTTCCAGTGCCTCCCCACATGGGATGTGACATTATGTGCGCACTCCCGTTGCTCACGGCCTCCCACATCTGGTACGGATCGATCTCCACACACCTCCACTTCTTGTAGCGCTGCATCAGCAGCTGCGGCGCATGAAAAGCATCGATTTTCACTTGTTCTCTATTAATGCTTGTTTTTACCACAGTAACTTTTGGGTCGGTTTTTTATATAACGAATTTTCTTTAAATCTCACTTCCACATGGTACAATACCGGGCTTTTTATAAAATAATGAAATTACACCTATTGATTATCAACTAATTTAAGGGGCTCGCTCTAATAGTTCCAGACACTGTTACACAATTCAGCACATAAATATTGAAAGACTTAGACATGCAGAAAATAAATTGAAAACTTAATGTTGTGAAGAAAACCAACATAGAAAATCCTCAAAATGAAGTATTTATTGGAAAATGGTGATTCTGCTAAGGCAAGTTACCGAGGTGGCGTGTTCGAAGGGTTGCACATTTAAAACCCAATTCCCGAAAGTTGATAGTTTGAATACTAAATGTACCTTTTCAACCTACATTTATAATAGAAAACTGAAGTTTTCGAGAGTCCTCTACATTTACTGAAACCATTTCTTCTCATTAACTTAGTATTATCCATCCTGTAAACTTTATTTATTAGAAAACGAGGTACAAATTGCATTTGCAAATTGTAAGCCAGGAAAGAGAGAATGAAAGTATGTGTTCATTGCTATTCTTTGTGAACGGTTCTATCGACCCATAAAAATAAATTTTCTGTAGCTTGCATGAATCCCCCCAGGTCTGATAGCGTAAATAAACAAAGAACTTTGTTGACATTGAAGAAGAGTGTAGCGGGGCGATCCCCCTTGAACATATGCGTTACTATCTATTTAATAAATTAAAGAATAGTTGAGGATGAATATTATAAAAATAAATACAAAAATATTACTAAAGCTAGTATTTAAGAGAGATTCCTGAAATTGCAACAAAAGATTTAGGAAACAGTTACCAGAATGTAAAAATTGTGATCATTACAAAAAATGCGAACACTCACACAATAATAAACTTATGAGTCGATTGTAATCGATATAATTGTTTTTTCAACGTTTTTGTTTCAGTTAAGCAGGTGATTTCCTCATCAAAAAAAGAAAATTAAAACATTTCACTGAAAAACAATTCTGGGATAACACAATGAATTGTGACATCGTGTTGAAAACAAACGATTTTTTTTCATTTTTACGCATTATACGCTATATTATATATATGAATTTCCACCTTTCCTTAAAAAAAATACAAATCTTTGTTAAAGCCAAGAGGCGGGCTAAAATCTTGAAACATGATCAGGATATTTTTAATTCAAGTAACCATACAAAAGCAATGTGGAATGTAGTAAAAAATATAATCACGTCATCAACTACGTCACATAAAGGTTTTATTGTTTTTTTGACTGAATAAATCTAAATGTAAACTAGAAACTTTGTAGACAATGTTTTAAAAGGTAACGATAGATATGTGATCGATCCATCAACAGTAGCTATTCTCTTCAACCAATTTTCGAGAATTGCTGTTGATATCACTCAGTCGTGAAATTCAACATCACACAACAAACACTTTAGACACTATG